AGCTGCCTACAGCAGCTCCAGGTTCAAAAGAAGGTGCGAAGGTAGGAGCCAGAGGTGGGGACTGCCCCCGGCTCTTCCACTTAGCAGACTGGGCCCCTCCCTGCACCTCAGTTTCCCCAGGCCTGCTCGGCCTGTCCCCTCCAAATCGCCATGAGAATCCAACAATGCGAGTGTCTGTGAATGTGGTGGGTGATTATCGCCACCAATGGACCCTCTCCAGGCCCAGGGAAGCCACAGTCCCTCGAGCGTGTGGCTTGGATTGACTTTGAACAACACCATTTCAAAGGCGCTGGGCCACCTGGCACTGTTTCCAGACCCTCAGCTGGGAGGTAAGTGACCATAAATCCTTTTCTAGAGGCGGCCTGGCTCCGCGCACCAACGCACCCAACAGTGGCGCGCACTCCCACCAGCAATCATGCCCCGAGAAGACAAGTGGAAAATGCACCATGTCTGGTCTATGCAGGGCAAATTTCCCCTGTAAGCCCTGCCAGGCAAAGCCTTTATAATTGCCTATTATCAGGCCTGAAAATCACACTTAGGTTTTTAGAGAGGGACTTACTAGTAGAATGCTCAGTGAGTGGGGGGGGGCGCTGTTTGTGCTCGGGCTCCCCAGGCAGGCAGGCCAACCCCCCTGAGGTGGTTTCTGCGTCCGGAGACTGCTCCCAGCTCGCCCCACCCCTCCCCCTTCCTGGCTCCAGTCTCTCCCCCGCCTGAGCTGCTGCAGCCATTTCTTGTCACTGCTGAACAATAGGCCTTGCTAGCAGCTGGCAGCTTGGCCACCCAGCCCGGGGAGGGGCGGGAGGGAGGGAGGGGGGCCTCCTGGCTGCCTGTGGGCTGGGGCAGCCAGCCTGCTGCAAGGGGGTTCCCAGCTCCAGGGACAATGCCAGCCTGTGCGCCTCCCTGGTTGTGCTCACAGCTGTGTCATGTGCGTGCTCAGTGAGTTGTAACCCTGGGGACCGTTACTCCTGATTCAAAGATACCTTCCCAAGAGGAGCAACAGGACATTGAAAGCAAAGACGGAAGAGGCAGTAGGGACTCTGGGACCCCTGATTGCCATAGACTTGGAGCAGTGTCCTCAGTAAGTAAAGAGCTGACCATGATGACGACAAGCACGGTGTTAGGAAATCGTAGCGTGGTGCTGGATCCCATCCAAGAGCTTAGTAAAACCACCAGGCAGGACCCCAGGCCCGGATACGGGCAGAGGCCCCGGGGTTCTCTAACTTGCCCCCAGGGAGAGCCTCAACAGGAAGCACTGGCATGTAGTCGTCCTGTCAACCGAGTCCCCGAGAGGGACAGTGACTGGCCCAAGGTCACACAGAGCCAAGATCGGAGAACCGAGGTGGGCACTGAGCCCTGTAGGGCTCTCCCCACTCCTGGCTCATGTGGTCCCCGGGGGCATCTTCCTCCTCTTGTCCCTCTGGGCAATGCCTGGATGTTGTTCTTCACACCCCGAGAAAGAAGAGAGGTGTGAGGTGACTTGGTCAAGGTCAGGCAAGTGAAAGAAGTAAAGCTCCCACAGGGTCTTCTGCCTCTCACCTTGCTCAGCCTCCTGTCAGCCTGTCTGGGGGCCCCCGAGGAGCCAGGAGCAGTAACAAGCCACAGGGAGCATGTGCTGATGTGGTTGTATGAGTCAGAGAGGCCCGGCCCACAGTCCTAGCTCTACCACTTGCCAGCTGTGTGACTTATGGGAAGTTGCTTAAACTCTTTGAGCCTGGGCTCCCTCCTCTGTAAAGTAGGGGTGGTGAGATGAATGTCCAAGGACTGGGGCGAGGAGTCCACTTAGTGGTGTCTGGCACATGCAGTGCTCAGTGAGTTGTAACCCTGGGGACTGTTACTCCTGATTCAAAGATACCTTCCCAAGAGGAGCAACAGGACATTGAAAGCAAAGATGGAAGAAGCAGTAGGGACTCTGGGACCCCTGATTGCCATAGACTTGGAGCAGTGTCCTCAGTAAGTAAAGAGCTGACCATGATGATGACAAGCACGGTGTTAGGAGATGGTGTGCCCACAAAACGTGCCTCCAGCGCTAAAACACCCCAGCCTTGCTTTAAGGTTCAACCCAAAACACTACGCTGAGCCCCAACCGGTTTCGCTCAGTGGATAGAGCGTCCGCCTGTGGACTGAAGGGTCCCAGGTTCGATTCCGGTCAAGGGCATGTACCTTGGTTGCGGGCACACCCCCAGTAGGGAGTGTGCAGGAGGCAGCTGATCGATGTTTCTCTCTCATCGATGTTTCTAACTCTCTATCCCTTTCCCTTCCTCTCCTCCTCCTCCTCCTCCTCCTCCTTCTTCTATGTTTTGGGGCTGTTCTAAGTGCTTTTCATGTATGGACTCTAATCCCCGCCATTGCATAAGATCAGCTCAATTTACCCATTTTATAGACGAGAAGCTAAGGCACAGAGAGGCTCTGGAATTTGCACGAGGCTCCAGGATGTAAAATGGTGGAGCAAGGACTCAGACTCAGGCAGTCTGACTGCAGAGCCAAACCCTGCAACTCAGTGCTATAAACTGTGTCCTGCCTTAGACAACAATCAATTCTCTGTGTCTCAGCTTTCACATCTAAAATGGGGCTCTTTGACCATTAGTTCCATGTCGAGGCCCCTTTCTTGGTCCTAAGTTCTGTGAAGATGTCCACTCTTACGTGACCTTTCTGACTGCTCTACCTCTCTGGCCCTCACACCATCCCCTCCAACACCTGGACTCTATCCACTTTCCTGGGGTGTACTTTCCAGTCTCTAAGCCCCTGAGCACAGGGACTGTGGCCTGGCCCAGCTATGGCCAGACACTGTCTGTCCTAAGCATTGGTTTGCACAGATCAGGGAAACATTTTCGGTTAAGGGCTGAAGAGCAAATACTTAAGATTTTGAGATCAAGCCTTGTGTTCTCTGTGCCACTGTAACAGGGCAGCAGCCACAGAGAATACACAAATCCATAAACAGGACCACCTTCTAATAAACCTCTACTTACAAAATCAGGCAGTGGGCAGGATTTGGCCCAAGGGCCACAGTTTACTGACCTGTGGCAAAGATGACTATCACAGAGTTTCTGCTCTTTGGAGCAGCACAGGGTAGCAGAGGAAATGAGCAGTGTGCAGCTAACCTAAGACATGGCAGGACTTGCTAAGTGTGTTAGCAGTGCTGCAGGGCCCTCCAGAGGAGAGCAGGTGGGTTCTGACTCGGGGATGTGGATGGGCACTTGAGCTTGGCTTGGAGTGATGAGTAGAATTTCTACAAGCAGAAGTGGGGACATACCCCAGGGCATGCAGTGTGCTGGGAATGGGGCATCTGCAGGTGCAGGATGGGAGTAGACCTGGGACCCAGACAATGAAGACTGACTTCTGTGCTTTTCTCATGCCCTAGAGAAGGGGGAACTACAGGGTTCTTCTCTTCTTGTAATTCAACAAATGTTCTGAGTGCCTACTATGTGCTAGGCATGGGTGTAGGCATGAGAAGATAGACAACATCTGCAACTTTAATTTTTATTGCATTGTCAACATTTGCACAGAGATTTAGGTCTGACTTTATCTTGGGCTCATACGCAGAGAAACTGAATGAGTTGCTGAAGTTATGTCTAATGAATAGTGGCTGCTCCTATTCCAGAGTCCACTCTACCTAGCTGCCTAATGAGTATCTCTACTGGGATGTCTGGAAAGACTCATCCTGCTCTTCTCTGCTAGGGCTGCTGTAACAGAGTGGCTTCAACAACAGAAATGTGTTGTTCTGGAGGCTAGAAGTCAGAGATCCAGATGTCAGCAGGGCTGGTTCCTATGAGGGCTGTGAGAAAAAGATCTGTCCCAGGCCCCTAGCTTCTGGGGTCTGCTGGCAGTCTTTGGTGCTCCTGGGCTTGTAGACATATTACCTGGATCTCTGTGTTCATCTTCACATGGCACTGTCCTTGTGGGTCTGTGTTGATATCTACTCCCCTTTTAAGGACACTAGTCATATTGAGTAGGGCCCGCCCACCCCAACCACCTCATTTTAATTTGATTATCTCTGTAAATACCTTATTTCCAAATTAAGATCCTATTTTGAGGTACTGGGGGTTAGAACATCAACATAACTTGTCTTGAGGACACAGTTCAACCCATAACAGCCCTCCCCCCATATTCCATTGCTGATTGAATGGAACCTTCATCTCCCAGGCCTCTCATGTCCAGGCCACTCCTTCATCTCTTCACCAGCTGGTCTGGTGGCCAGAATTGCCTGGACCAGGCAAGGCTAGATGCCACAGGCCCGTCACAGATGTCCCGGCTGCCTAGGAGGTCGCATTGGATCTCCTCCATTAACTTCTGGAAGGCAGAGGAGGAGGCCAGGATGTATAAGCCAGGAGGACAGCTTGGAAGATGTGCAAAAATGCCCGAACCGCTGGGGCTTTGGGATGTCAGCTCGAGCATCAAGGACATGCTGGCGTCCTTAGGAAGCAGGAGCACTAACCAGAGGCGCCCTCTTGGGAAGCTGTGGTGGAGATGGAAAATAGGTGGTGGGGAGTGGCCAGCATTTGGGAACAGAATGTGGCTTGGACTGGAGAACAGGTTGGGGAGTGGGGAGAGGGGGGGATTAGGCCTGGGGGAAGGGTGGTGAGGCCAAATAGAGGCCCGGAGGGAAAATGAGGCTGTTTTCAAACACACAAAGTCTGGTAGATAGTTAAGTCCAGAGCTCAGGAGAGAGGCAGGACCTTAAAACAAATTTTCAGACACCTGAGTGGACTAGATTCCCTTGGGAAAGCCGGCAGGAGTGGAGGCTCTGCAACACTCCACTGCCCAAACCCTGGGAAAAAAACTATTCAGAGAGTTGGAGGGAGAGAAGTGAGAATGAGGAGTCCGAGAAGGGCCCCAGAGGCAGGGCGAGGAGAGAAAGGTCCTCCTGAGATCAGGGCAGTGAGGGAAGGTCCTTGTCGGCACCAGCTCTGGCAGAGGCCCCGGGGGATGGTTCCTTAACAGGAGCAAATTGTGTCCTGAGCTGGTTCTGCTCAGGTCAGACGGAAGCTGCACACGCACCTCTGTCACCTTTTAACTGTTTATTGTATAATATAAAACTACAAAAGTAAGACTGCTCATTTCCATGTACATTTCATCTGTCCAGTTGTTTCGATTACAGCCCAAACCTACATGTGAATACAGCCATCGGGGTTCCAATGTAACGTCTGTAATATTGCATAGAAAAGGCACAGCTCTCAGGTCTGTGGGGGAAAGGTTACACTTCCTCTTTAGACAAAATCCTCCTTAAAAACTATGCACCAAATGTCGCTATGTACATCGTTTCCAAAATCTTGGTTGTTTGCTTGCATGGACTGCACTTCTCTTCCACACTTATCCCCAAAAGATGTCCAAAATTTTTATTGGCTTTGTCTGCAATAGCATTTGATCCTGGCTAATTTTCAAGAAACGTTTAGACTCATTCTTAGAAGCACTGAAGACAATGGTACACAAGCAGGAACATACACCTCGCTGTTCGCCAGCAATTACAGGAAGTTAACCATTTACAGCCAGAATAGGTCCAATATGCTCTTTTCGGTATTTTCATAAAATGTAGGAAGGCCCAATTTGTAACAGCAAGGTTTTTAAATTAAGACAATTCATGGAAAATATCAATCGCTACACTAGGTAGAGTCTTTTTTTTTTTTTTTTAAACATCTGTCATTTAAGAAGGCTGCCCAGCGGTATTCATAATTCATTGTTTACCACGAAGGTGGTTAATAAATTTAAGCTTTAAAAACGATCCGTAAGTTGATACTTTGGCTCTTTGGAGCTTATTTATGTAAGAAATTTTCCTTGATTGACCTCAGGGCAGTTGGGACGTGCCATGGGGCTATGGCAATAAAAAGCTCAATTGATAAAGACACTCGAGGTGTAGAGGAGGTCCTGGCTAGTTCTCACCTTGTGGTGTGAACAAGGGTGTCGGTGTGGTTGCCCCTTCAGTCGGAGAGAGAAAGTGCTACTAAAAAACATTTAAAAAGATCAACACTTTGATGCTTGATTTTCTTTAAAAATTTGGAGGTATTGAAACATCCCTCACCCATACCTTTTGCATATTTCAAATAGACCCACATTGGAGAAGAGAGTACAAGTGAATGTGGACTGGGCATATGATGAGACGACCCGGGGGGTCTGGCTCGGACCCCGTTAATACAGATTGACATGCCTACCAGAGAATACATTCCTACCATACATTCTGCACATGTTACGATCCAGATGTTGTTAGAGCTCCACAGTAAAATAAATATATTTACACAGAAAAAAAAAAGGAATAAATAACTTATGGAAAAAAAATCACTTCAAATTCAAAGCTCTTAATATTCTGCTCTCATCTTGTCACTTCATTGCACATCACTGTCCATGGGTGTCCTCTCCTGGTCACACCCAGCACGTCTTTCTCATGAAGGCACCTCGAACTGCCTGCCTGACTCTGAAGGCCACGCGATGTCCTCTGCACGGGGGAGGCACGCCCCAGTCCACGCTCAGACTGGGACGTGCAGATCGCCCACGGCTCACAGTCTTCCCTGCTGGGACATCGCTTTGGGAACACTTGATGGTTTTGTTCTTTTTAAACCCTGCCACTTGTTTCCCGGGTCTTCCTCAGAAGACCGTGAATATCGAGCGTTTACGGCAAGGGTGTCCAGAGCTGACAAGCGTTTGCCTGATGTTGGGGTGTTTTTTTTTGTTTGTTTGTTTTGATTTTCAAGACCAGCCTTACAAATACTAGAGTCCGAGACCACGTCTGGGCAACACTTCGCCGTGCTTATTTGAACTGTTGCCCAACATATGGGATTTGTTTAAACACACGATTTGCTAATCCAACCAAAGTACAGTTGTTCTAAGTTACTGTAAATCAGCTTTTAACAACGGCAAATCAACCGCCTTACCCTGTTATTGTTCGGAATAATCAACACTATTGTGTATGTATACATATGGATAAGTATGCAGCATGTGGTGAGTTTACCAGGTCCTCCAGTTATCAAAAGCGTGGCATCCGGGCTGGCTTGTTCTCCACAGAAAAAGGAAGCTCTTAAAATGGACAGGCACAGCAATACTGGAAGCATTTACAACAACCCTCCCCTCACCGATATATGGTCCCTGGTCCCATCACAGGAAATGACACATCTGCAGCAGTACAAGGTGTCCTGGTGGAGGTTGCTTGTAGGAGAACAAGAGCAATTTGATCTGTTTCCCACTGCTCTCCTGAGTTGATAATTAGCCTTTAAAAACACATTCAAGTGGGGGAGGGGCGGGGAAATAAATTAGAATGTAGATTTAATCATACCATGCACGATGAATCTTTTGATTAGATGAGCAGTTCCTTCATCACAAATGTATTTGTTTTGCCATGTGCATTATAAAAATAAAACTATCTATGGCTTGTTTAAAGTGCCATCTTATAAAGCTGTCTTTTTTTAAATTGGCCAGAAAGACTCAATTTTATCCATGGCAAGAAGTGAGCAGAATTGGTGACTGAATATTGACAAATGACTAACAACAAAGACAACAACAACAACACAAATCCCATAATTTAAAAATTCTTAAATAAATATAAAAGTTATTCCTAAAGAAGCCACCTGCATTTCAAAAATATAAGATGTAACCAGCGACAGTACCATTGGAAGAAAGAAACAACTGAAAGGAAAAGGCCATACACACTGTCGGCAACAAGCATGACACATTGCAAACATTTCAAAATTAAATGTACACCGTTAGGAATAAAAAGCTACTTCTCAAGTGTCCTGGTTTGGGGGTAGTGGGTGAGGGTGGCAAGGGGGGGAGGAGGAGGAGGAACATGCATAGAAAGTCCTGTGTATGTGGGTAAAACAGCCTTGTGAAGTGTAGTTAAAGCCGTTGATTCAAGAAAGCAACCAGATTGGAAGCTGTGACATAATGGGACCAACTCCTGGTTCAAGGGCCACGGCTGTTTCAAGAGTGCATCCCGGGCTGGGCCGAGGTGGGCCGAGCTCACGGTGGTGACCATGAAGATACCATTTTCAGCATTTAGCAACAGAGGGAAGGGAAGCTGGAAAAGACAATTGGGCAACATGATGGATGCCTTCTGGGGGAGATCTTTTTCTCTAGGAGCCCTAAGCATTGCAAAAGGGTTTAGTTCCAAGAAGAGGTTGGTTGCTTTTCATAAAATTTTGTTCACATGTAAAATTTCAGGTCATCATAAAAATTATGCCAAAAAGGAAAGATTTGGGTTTTTTTAAAAAAAAATAAAAACAATTAAAAGCGCAAACTTGGCATAAATACAGTGAGTATTCGGTAGTCTTCCCCCTCAAGAGAGGGAGCTAAAGAGAACCACCACTTAAACCCCGAGCTCCATGGCCACCTCCCGCCAACTGCTTAATGCAAGTTTGATGAGCAGATGTGGCTCTGGCTTTGGAAGTCACAGTGCTGGCGGGTGTTCATGCCAGGAGGCCGGTGCTTGTGAAATTTGGGTGTGATATCGCCTGGCCCTTTCTTAAAGCGCTGAGTGTGTGTGTGTGTGTGTGTGTGTGTGTCTCTGCATTTGGGGGACGTCAACTGCGGATTGATTTGATCCAATTTTCTCTTTGCACC